GGCTGCCATAAAGAAGAGGGAATCAAGCTATTTTCCAAAGCACCTGAAGGCAGGACAAGAAGCAATGGGTGGAAACTAATCAAGGAGAGAAGCAACCTAGAACTAAGGAGAAACTTCCTGACAGTGAGAAAAATTAATCAGTGGAACAGCCTGCCTCCAGAAGCAGTAAATGCTCCAACACTGGAAGTTTTTAAGAAGAGACTGGACAGCCATTTGTCCGAAATGGTGTAGGGTTTCCTGCCTGAGCAGGGGGTTGGACTAGATGACCTCCAAGGTCCCTTCCAACTTTACTACTATTATTATTATAATACTGGGCCAACAGAGAAGTTGTAGAAAATAAGAGCATAGTAAGAATAAAGCTTGTGGACTTGTGGACTTCAACTCCTAGAATTCTGAGAGTTCAAGTCCACAGTCATAAGTGCCCAAGGTTGGGGACCCCAGGCCTATAGTTGTCTTTTGTTGAAAGAACCAGTAGTAGGATAACAAAGGGTGAGCCAATTATTGGAATACCTTAGAAAAGTTCTTCCCAAGTATTTTCTCATGCCTGGCTTTCAGAAACTTGGTAAAAATCTTACCTTTTAGAACAGCCTTCACTGTTCAGTTCTGTTTTATTTCATTGCTGCTTTCATATTTTAAGTAACTGGATCAACCCTGAAAAGCTTCCATATTTTGTCTTAAAAATATTAATAATAATATTTAAAAACTAAAAACACTTTTAAATCCTAAACAAATCTAAATACAATCATCACTCTATATAAACTCCCTCCAAAACCACAAATTTTTAAAATTTAAAACATTAGAATCCACTCACTAAAATAAGCAAATTATAATCCCTTCAAAACACAAATTTAAACAATAATTTGTTTAATTAAATGTGCTTAGATTTGTTTAGGACTTATAGGTTTTTTAAGTTTTTGTTTTTTTTTTTTCTTTTTGGATAGGAGAGAAGATTATGAAGATTGAAGGAAATATGTACTTACTTTAAGTTCTTTAAGAGTATTTAGCTTTAATGGTATAACAAAGATTTGTATGTTTATTTTTTCGTTTTAGGATAAAGAAAGAGGGAGAAATTAGATTTTATATTATAGATATAGATATTCAAAGAAAGTAATGTTTAAATTTGTGTTTTTGGAGGGAGCTTATATAGAATGATGATTGTATTTAAATTTGTTTAGGTTTTAAAAGTGTTTTAAGTTTTTTTTTTAATTAAGCCTGTACTCAGCTCTGGGAAGTCCAGGGGAGGGTTTGGGAGGTTGGGAAGGGGGGGGTGAGGTAGGGGGGGGTATGGGAAGGGGATTTGTTTTTGTAAAATGTAAAAATTTTCAATAAAAAAAAAAAAAAAAAAAGCTTCCATATTGTTTTACTGTTTTTCATTAATAAGTTTAATTGTGAACTGACTTACTTAGAACTCCCGCATAGGTAGTATGTTTCAGCATAGGCAGTATATTCATTTTAAATGAAATGACTGCATATATACATAGAACATAAAGTCCTACTGTTTGATGTCTGCACAGAGTAACCAACCATACATTTATTTTATCAAGCATTAAGAAATTCCAGTCCTACAAGTTCTACAAGTTCCCAAATTAAAAAAAAAAACAACTTTCAGAACCTAAATTGAATTTGATCAACTCAGAAATGAGATGGTCTTTCCTATTAACTGAAGAAAAGAAATCTAATTTTCTATTAAAATCCAAACATATCTGCCCCCCCCCATGTTTAATTCATGCAAAAATAACTAATTTCACATGGCTGAATCTTGAATTAATTCAGGAACTAAAACTTAATTTTGGTCTCTGTGATTTATAGACATCACTTATACACCTGTTTAGAGTTCCAGTTAAAACCTTCTGTTTATAAAATTGTTTGGTGGGAGCCCTATCCTCACATACACCATTCAGCTAAGTGGGGGATTCACTAAAACCTTTTTCTGTTTTCAGCAGTCACATCATGCAGCACATTCATCCTTGAACTGATTCTCCTTCATAAACATTTTTGCTTTTTCTCTTCGATTTCTCAGTTTTATTTCGACTCTTCTTGAAATTTCCTTAGAGCTGTTCATCAAGATAACTTGTTCTCCCTTTGCAAGCCTCCAGCTTTTGGCTTCATGACATTTTACAAGTGCTAGTGAAGTAGAAGTAAACTTCCTCCCTTGTATGGGCATAAACTGTGCCTTTCTTTGCCTTGGTGAAGGTCACATAGTGGACTCTTTTGAAAACTGCCAGGCGTTTACTGAACAGGCTGGTTGCAATCATTTTTCTCATGTGTGACATTTATAGGAAGAGATTGGTGTTAGTGTATAGAGTGGTAAAAATCAGGAATCGGGTAGCAGCTTTTCAAATTAACAAATGTTCTTAAATGGCACATGGTTTCATGAGTTGTGGCTCACTTCAGGAGACTAAATTTATGTAGGATTTAAACTGAGGTAGAGAGAAGGGAAAGCAAATTGATTATGCAGATGCAGATTACATCTGAGAGAGACTATCAGTATCTTATCAATTAATCAATTATCAGTATCTTAGATCTTAAAAACCTTTTGTGTTTGTTAAGATCTTCTGAGATTGTCTGAAAACAGAATAGCAGGGTTGGAAGGGACATTGGAGGTCTTCTAGTCCAACCCCCTACTCAGGAAGGAAGCCCCTATACTATTCCAGACAAATGGCTGTCCAATCTCTTCTTAAAAACTTCCAGTATTGGAGCATTCACAACTTCTGGAGGCAAGTTGTTCCGTTGATTAATTGTTTTAACTGTCAGGAAATTTCTTCTTACTTCTAGGTTGCTTCTCTCCTTGATTACTTTCCATCCATTGCTTCTTGTCCTGCTTTTAGGTGCTTTGCAAAATAAGTTGACCCCCTCTTCTCTGTGGCAGCCCTTCAAATATTGGAACACTACCTAGAATCCAGAGCGGCATCGCTGACAGATGATTACAGGGCGAACATATGAAGGTGCCTCTAATCTTGTGTGTGTACTTGTTGGGGCTTTGATGCTGATGCTGCTGGGAGCAAAGTAGATGTTTGGGTTGGTTGCAGGGTCTAGTTCCCACATTTGTGCGGGCTCAAATTCTGCCACCTCATGCTTTCTCGGGTTGACTACATCAAAGACAGCCTTTGCAGGTGTTATTTTCATGTTCTTAGGATGTTCTCTGAACCAGGGCACTTCTTTGAGGTAGATTTTGTTGGCACCATAAGATCCAGCCTATTCATCATCTAGCAGAACCCATGCTGATCTTTCTGAATCTGATAATTCTGCATCTATGTCTCTGCTTGAATTCTCTTTCAATATTGTCACCCAATGATCATGTTGAGGATCAGTCACTCAGCTTCCCTTCAGAAGTCCTCTATTCCAATTGCTATTCCAAGAGCAAGACAATTGCTATAGTGGCAGAATCCCTTCGCCTTGAAAATGTTAGGGAAACAAAACAACCACTTCACAAATGCATGGTATAACACAGGAGAACAAACTCATCAGGACTCAGTTCAGCAGTCCTGAAACTGTTAAATCCAACTCTTACATTTGAACTTGTCTGAATTTCAGATACATGTAGATAATCATATCCAGAACAATTCAACTGCATGTTTTCTTAATGAGGAAATTTCATTTATATATATTCTGCAGAAAAAAAAGATACTAACTGTAATAAGGAACTGAGCCTTAACAAATATTAAACAAATTGAAGTTGATACTTCCATATAATTACATTCTTCCTTAGCTTCAAAATTATTTATATTTGTCATTTGCTCATTTAAGAAACTAGGTTAAGTTATTTTAGCAAGATTTAGCTAGAGTATTCCTACTACTCTTATGTATCCCTAATTCTTTTGAATAATAATAACTGGGTCATTCTTCTCACCGGCTTCTTCAGAGGACTGTGGCTTTATAATAAATCCTGCATATCTACGATGGACTCCAGTGTTTACTTAATTCTCCCTATCAAAAAGACCTGACTCATGCTTCATAGTACTTTTACTCTTGGAATTGGATGCTTTCATGCTTTTCTGAAGCATGAGTATAGACTGTCAACTTTGAAAATGAGCGTGGCTGCATGCCATTTTCTCTACTCATTTTCAGTTGACACATAGCATGGAGGGAGGGGGGTTTACCAGGTGCTTTGCTAGACTAAACAGATTTTCTCCCCTGGGAACCAAGGTCATCGGCTGCTCCCGGGACTGCAGGCTGGGTGTTTTGTGAAAAGCCCACCAAGAAGTTGTATTGGGGAATGTAGTAGCTTGCAAAGCTTTAGGGGTGGGATTTCTTTGTATTGGGGATTGTTACGTGTCTGTTCAGATGTGGTTTCACTTTTGACGTGCCGATACCTTTTTATCAATAAACATGTTCTCTGACGAACTTGCAAGCCTCGGAGTTCTGCTTTATTTGTCTCTGTCTGTCAGAACCATGGCATAGAGAAATATATATTTGAATAAGGTGAAACTAAATGTTGTGAATTCTCTCAGCCCAACTCTGGAATAGGCCAGTTCACTCCAGCCAACTCACCAGGGCAACTTGTCATGGTCAATTCACCATGGCCAACTTGCCACGATCAACTCGCTGTGGGACAATTTAACAATTTAATTATTTAAAATAAATAAATATTTAAATTTTTGCCATTCACATTTTATTTTGTCCCTCTTTTGGCATCCTTTCTGTAATGATTCTCTTCCACCATTTCTTTGATATTAGTGTAACTCTTGCCATGCAGCGAGTTGGCTGTGGCAAGTTAGCCATGGCAAATTGTCATAGACTGCCCAACTCACCTCACAAGGTTGTAGTTGGGGGGAACACCGGAAGAGGAAGGAGTATTAGGTATATTTGCCACATTGAGTAATAAAGATGGGGTAAAAATATAATAAACTGATAAGGGAACAAATCTACTGAATACTTTATTAGAACTGTTTTTATAATGGTAAAAACAAAATGCCTAAAAAAACCCAAGACATTTTATATGAGACATGAGCTTTTTTATCTGAGCAAATTATTGATGTTTGTGTTGCCTTTTCTTTCAGCTGTAGAAAAAGCCATCTTTTAGAAAGAGTATGCGAAATTGACTTAGAAGCTTGTCAGCTGTTGATCCATGGATTTCTGCTGAACAAAAATGGCTCTTATGTTTCGGAGGGAGAAGAGAGCCAGACTGAAGAAGTAGAGGATATGGAACATGCCTTTTTAACCTCGAAGTGGGAACAGTCAAATTACTTTTCAGTTAATAGTTCCAAGCAACTTATTGGAAAGAAACACCAAAGTACACCCTGCGAACTGAAAGAGGTATCAAATTTCTGCTTATTTGTTTTGTTTTCCAGTTTGTTTCCAGCAGTCATTCTTTTCAGTTTTGATGAGGTTTGTTCCATTTTGGCCTGCAAGCAAGCCAGCCTACTAAAAAAGTGAAGTCTATTATTTATTGGAATCAGATGATGAAGTGAGAAAGGGATGCTTGATGCATTACAGTATGTTGGCTTTCATTGATTATCATTATACCTGGAGCCATCCTAATGGCAAGCAAACACTGTGCATTTGGTGAGTTATCTCAAGTCGGAGGTGGTTTCTTTGTGCAATTTTTTTTTGCTTGTTTTGTTATCCTTTCAGTTGACAGCAATAAGATAACCCAAACAACTCTAAGTTCAGAATCAGGGCCATTCCACATGCTTCTCTACCAGCCACTATGTTCAGCTTTCCATGTAGTCAGCTCTCCTCCAGCCTTCCCTTCTTTGCCATTGAAGAGTTTCCCAGTTGCTCCCTTCACCCCAAATTCCTGGCAAATTTAATTTATAATTGAATCTTTATGCTCTGAAGTTCCTTATTGGGAAGCCTTAAGTTCTAATATGGCCAAGATACGAACCCTCCTTAATGCCACTTTTTGCTGCTGATAAATTAGGGGAGAGGGAGAGAAGAAGCAAGCAAGGCTGGCTTGAAGTAGCCCAAGCTTATTTATGAGCCAATTAAAATTTTGCAAGTATTTTGGCTTGTATCACAAAAGGACTGTTTATTTCTAAAATGAAGGTATACATTCTTCTGCGAAATATCCTGTTTCCTCTATGCATTCTGATTCCTGGCTAAACTACACCCTTATTTTTGAATCTTGAATTTGCTTGGAATAAAAGCACAAGTCTAACATGAGCAAAATTGGAGGACTGCATCTGTGCCTTTAATAGTGAAGGTGCCAGTTCTGTTTCATTCTTTCAAGGTCTTTCTCCTTCAGAAGGTCAATGTCAAGTTTTTTTTTAAAAAAAAGAAAGCTAGAAACCTTTTCCACACAAATATCCAGCATATATATCAAAATTAGAATATAACAAGGGAGAAAAGAAAAGGAATTGTAGAGCCACTCAGTACCCATTTAAATTCAATCACAGGGATTTATTTTACAGTGGTTCAGATAGAAACCTCCGTATATCAATGTTCTTGATATACGGTATTACTGATTCGGAGAAAAAGTAGCCGCTTTCATCTGCCACAGTCTTTCCAAAATGTTTCCTGGGCAATGGAAAGAGCCAAAGAAGAAAAGTATTTATTGACATACTATATTAAAAAATAACTTCTTCAGAAAAAAGTCCCCATTACTTAGTCATTTTAATATTTTTCATATCAGTTGTCAGTTTATCCATTAATGCTGTAGTCCATGCCCATGGATATTCTATACATGGAGAAATCTTCCATCTGAGGTAAACTAAAATGGCATACATTTAGGATGGGTTTGCTCAATTCAGGCATCAGGGTTGGCTTGAAGGTACAGATTGAGATGTCTAACAGTAGATTTGATCTGGTCTTTCAAAGAAGACCTTCTTAGGGAGAAACTTATCTGGTGCAGTGAAAACTACAAGTCTGAGAAAGTGAGTCTTTGGATGGATCTAATGTTGTGCATTTATCATTTATTTAAAATGATGAAAAAGTGTCAGCTCTTCGCTGCCTCAGACTGAGGAGAATAGAGAGAACCACAAATCAAGGGAGTTAAGGTCAAAAAAGTGTACTCAGTACACTCAGGCCAATTGTTCACTTTTCTTTTTTTAAGCTATAATTATTTTACTCAATAATATGGGTAAAAAGTTCTGAATTGTTGTGGGAGGTAATTTATTTTACCAAAGCTAGTCTTCAAGGCTATTTGTTACTGGTAACTTACTGTCTTTCCCAAAATTAAATGAATACTTAATCAACTACACATATAGCTAATGCAAATGAACTCTGAATGATATAATGGTGTCTTATTACATATTAGTGATTACTTGAAATTTATGAGAAGGCAAGCCACAAATACATTAAGAATTTCTCAACTCTCTGATAAATTTATTCTGAATCAAATTGCAAGCAGAAGCCTAATTTCAGCGTTTCAGCAAAACAGAATTTGGCAACTTTATTGGGCTTCCCTCAGAAAGTAAAGGCTCCCCACTTAGATAAACACTTAGATAAACATGGCTAAGAACTATATCATTGTTCTTTTATGGCAACCACAGCCATAACAGTTGTCAGCCTCTGAGAGGGCAGGAGAGGCTATCCAATCAGTCTTCAAATACTCTTTAATGGTGTCACCCCTGTGCAGTGAAGTTGTTGACTTCCTTTTCTCACACAACTTTAAATGGTACAGTGGAGATGGTTTCATATTCTCTGTCTGCTGTGTGGTAATTCCAATAAGCAAGACAGGAGATCTCCTTTCTCGAATGGAGCCCTGATTCCATAAGATGCACATGGGACATTTTCATCTACTGTATTAATTGCAGCTGTTGATATTGCCTGCTATGACTCTCGATCAGGATACACTGCCTCAGACAGACCTAGTGTGCAACTTGAGGATTCTTTTAGGCTTGCAACTCCTGCTTGAAGAGTAGGTGGCAGTTTTGGCTGTTAGCACCTTTGTACAGTTTTGGGTTGTGCTCCAATAGTGCCCATTCCTAGATTGGGAAGCTCTGCTCCTAGTCACTCATGCCCTAGTCACCAGCCAGATGGACTATTGTAATGTGCTCTTCAGGGGGTTGTTATTGAAGAGTATCCAGAAACTTCAGCTGGTGCCAATTGCAATGATATGAGCAGTTATGTGTGCTCTGAAAAGATATACATTACACCTCTACTTGGTCAGCTGCATTGGTTGCCAGTTTCCTTCTGAGTCCAATTCAAAGCCCTTCATGGCATGGGGCCAGGTTAGATGACTACCTCTTCCTGATTACATCTGTCTGACCCATCAGATCTAGCGGAAGAGGTACATTGCTGGTCCCATATGCCAAATAAATAAATATGGCAATACCTAGGATGATGGGCATTTTCTGCATGGCACCTGCCTTGTGGAATACAATGCTCCGTCTCTGTTAGCATTTCACAAGTCCCTTAAGACTTAGCTGTGTCATCAGACTTGGGTTCCAAGGGAATGAAGAATTGTGGAGGGAGCTCTATTATTGTTAATATTTCTAACTCTCTCCTTGTCTTTTTAAAATTGTATTAACATTTTAAAAAATTGTTGATTGTGTTCTATATTATTGCTTTATTGTGTATCACCCAGAGGGCAGCTATATAAATACAAATAAATCGCATCACACTCATTTTGGAAGCACCAAAGCACTTCCTGGTTGAAAGAATTAGCTGGTGACATCACCATTGCCTGGGGGATGCCCAGTTGGAAATTCCTTTCATGTCTCCAGCAGAAACTGGAGTTAAGGACGGGAGCTCAACCCACTAGGATCTTGAATGCAGGCTTGCTATCCTCCAACCCTGTTAGCACCTCCATACACCCTAAGTACACCCTGCTCCTTGGTGAATAAATAAAATAAAAAGTGTCTATTGATGGAACATGAAAGAACACATTGCAAGCATTCTGGGAGCCAAAAACAGGAGAAAATAGCAGTAGTTGGGTTTTCCAACGAGGTTTTTGTGGTCTGTAATTCCTGGTAAAGTGAGATAGAGAAGAAGCGGATCAGTATTGAATACAAAAGAAAGCATCCAATTTTGCAATCATAAGCAGACATATTCAGAATGGCCTTAATACTGTAGTGTAAAGTTGTAGTGTATTTTGCTTAGGACCTAGCACAGCGGTTCTCAACCTATGGGTCGCGACCCCATTTGGGGTCGATCGACCATTTCACGGGGGTCGCCAAGCAAGGCTGTCCGCCATTTTTTTCCCTTTTCCAGCGGGTGCCTTACCTCCCTTGGGCTGGGCCAGCTGGTGGCCCAGCCAGTGGTCAGCCTGCTCCGTCTCTGCCGCTTGCCAGCTACACCTCGGCCGGCGCAGGGGGCGGCACCATGCATGTGCAGTGCTCCCGGGCAGGGAAAGTCCTCGACTTACGACCAGTTGGGTAGTCCTCGTCTTATAACTGGTTTAGTCCTCGACTTATGACTGGTTTAGTCCTCGACTTACGACCGGTTTAGTCCTCAGCTTACGACCGGTTGGGGGTCGCAGCATTAAAAAGGTTGAGAACCACTGACCTAGCATATGAAAACTCATTCATTATAGTTTAGAATTGTGTGCGACCCAGCGAATATGTTTTTTTCTTATTCAAGAAGAACAATTAACCTTCTTTAAATGATTCAAAACCAGTACTTCAAAATTCCTACATGTGCAAGCACAGCATCTTTCTCCTAAACTATATCTATGAAAGCAGGATGACTTTTTAAGGCTTCAGCTAAAGCAATGGCACTTTTATTCAAGCTCATGTACCAGTAGAAGCTTAAAAAAAACCTCACAGGCTGCATTCAATAAATAGCAGAAAGCTGCTGTGCTTGCACAAGGTCCAAAGCATGTCTTCTAAATCAATTTGAAAGTATGAAACCCTCTACCAGAGATGCATGTCTGGTTCTTTTGTTTTGTCCCTCATTCCTTTCAAGATAAAAAGATCACCCATTCAGGAAAGATGAAATTACACATTTCTTTGGGACAAATATGGACCCCAGAAAAAATCATTTCAGGCAGTTGGGTTGGTTCAGAGTATTTTCTGTCTTAAAATTTTCTTCTGTATAGAGGAGACTGGCATCTTTCTGAAAAGCTTCTCAGAAATAATTTGCTTCAGGTTTGACCTGAACAGCTTTCTTTCTGAAAATAATTACATTGCTGATATCATTTCAGTGTGCTTAGTTTCTATCTTCATAATATGATAGGATAACTAATTTACCATTCTTAGATAATGAAAAATTATATGCATGCATTTGGATCCCAGAAATCTAATTAGACAGGTGGTGGAAATCTGCAGTCAGGATCTCCTGCAGAGTACATATCTCTGTGTATAGTTAACACCTACTAATTGCAGGGACTAGAGAAGTCATGCTGGGGGATTTAACCTTCCCAAGTGCTTTGA